GGAGGTCGAGGATTTTTCCGTGTGGGAGGCTCCCTCTCGGGGCTGGAGCTCGGGGCGGGGGGAACCCAGCGTCCCGGACCTCACCCAGCCACGGTCCGCGGTCACTCACGCGCCGTTTTCCACCTTGACGGAGCGCACCCTGCGCAGGCCTCCGCGCTCGCTGACATTGGCGCAGTCGCTCAGCAGGCGGCAGCGACGACCCTGGAAGTCTTCCTCGTCCCAGAGCGTGAGGCAGGCGGGCGCCGGGCCCGGCGCGGGGGCGCTGCTCATGCTGCTGCGGACAGACAGGGCAGGACCACGCGCTCAGCGCCTTGGGAGCCCCCTTCCTAGCCAACGCCTGCCCGACCCGGGTAGGGGTGAAGGGCCCAGGGGCTGGATCCAGGTTTTCAGGGACCCTCCCTCATCTTGCCCTCCTCCGCCCCAGCACAAGGTATTCACCGGGTGGGTGAGCGCGACACGCACGGAAAACGGAGAGGCTGCGCGCGGGCCCGGCGTGCGGGGCTTTATACCCAGGCCTCGCCCCCGCCCCCGCCCTCGCCCCCGCCCCGCACCTGCTCCCGCTGGGGTGGAGGCAGCTGAGCCAGCAGTTCGGCCGCAGTCCGCTATGGGCTCCCAAGCCTTTCCCGCCGCCGCCGAGCTGGCCCCAGCCCACCCGGATTACAACAGAACTGCTGAGGCGCACACTCAGCGCTGGCCGCAGCCAAGGCTGACTCCGCGCTTTCTTTCTTTCGGGTCCGAGCCGGGCATGGCACCCCCTGCCTTGAGGGCAGCATGCACCCTCCCTGGTCCACACTCTCCGGGATGGAGGTACCAGGTCTCCCTGGGCCTCCAGCTAAGGCCGTGCATTCTCGAGTCAGCGCGCGGTTCTTCCCAATGTCTGAACCCCTCTTCTCCAGCCCCAGGTCCAGGCCTGTCTGCAGGCGAGGCTAGAGCGGAGATAGAGAAGCTTCTCCGCAAACGACTGTCCTCGCACTCCAAGGTCCTCTCTGCCCTGGAGAATCGGCCCATTCCGGCCCCTTCCTCCCGAGCGTGAATTCCAGATCCCGCGCCACCCTTCTGGAGTCCCCCCCCACACACACACACCTCCGCAGGGACCGATTGGAGGCGGGGACCGGGACTTGTCGCAAGGCGGCGCTAAGCTCGGGAAGCGAGAAGGCCCCTAGGAAGCTCGCGGCTTTACAAAGCGCTTCAGAATAAGGGTAACAGAGAGAGTTGTTCACTACCGGGTTAGGAAGCACTCCTCACTTTAGCTTGGCAGACTCTGGGGACTCCGGTCCAACCACCACCTGGGCGCCCGCGGGAGATTACCGAGAACTTGACCGCTTTCGGGATTGCAGCTACCCAGTGAAGTAGATACTGTTATGTTTTTATTTTTTTTATATTGGGGTTTTGTTTGTTTGTTTGTTTGTTTGTCATTGGGCCCGTACACTCGTTGGAGAGAGAGAGGGGGAAAGTGAGAAATCACCCCCCAGTGGGGATGGCCACACCACAATCTCTTCTCCTCCACTCTCCTGGGATTCTGGGCATGTGCACACACACACACACACACACACACACACACACACACATGCAGCCCCTTGTGATTTTCTAGCCGCCTGATCTACTCAAACCATGGTTGGCCATGTGGGAGTCCAGCACCTTAACCACCATGCCATCTGCTGGCCCCCTGTTTTTATTCATTACATTTTTAAATTAAAAAATTTTTCCCCAAGAAGGCACCTGTGCCCTCAGGAGAAAAACAGAGAAGCAGAGAGAGAGAGGGAGGGGAGAAAGCACGCCCCATGGGACATGGTCACGCTGCCATCCCTTTTTCATCCGTCCTTCCTTTGGGCTTTTGGACAATGCAGACACATGTGCCTAGCATGTTTCCCAAGCTGCAGGGTCGGGACTCATTATTTTTCTAATTTTCCCAGATGAAGTGGAGGCGCAGGATGGTTCCCAAACATTGTGGTGGAAAATGGCCCAGCTGAGATGTGAACCTGGGCTTTCCTTTCTTTTTTTTCCTTACCCCCCCCCCTTTTTTTAATAGAGATTTTTGCTATAGGGCACGTGAGCTAGCCCAAGAAACAGAAAGACAGAAAGTAATAAATCACCCCCGCGGGGGATGGCCACGCTGCAATCCCCTCTCCCTTTTTCTCTCAGATATTTGGACACGTGTGCATATTTGCCCGGTGTGAGCTTCAAGCCACTGGGACCACGGCGGATTACATGGGGGTACCGCTACTCCACCTGCTGTCCCTCTGAACTTCGTTTTGACTGAAGATCCTAGGCTCTTACCCCCCAAGTCCCAGTGCCACTTGTGGTGGGGGAAAGGAGGAGAGAAGGGGGAGAAGAGGGGGAGGGTTGGACTGCAAGGGGCAGCTCCAGGGAGGAAATTTCCTCCCCACTTGCAGAAGCATTCCCTAACCCCTGGAGCTGTCAATGGTGTGGTGCCCTTTCCTTAACAGGGGAAGAGGTAGAGGAGGTTCCAGCATGGGGGCGAGGGGTGCTGAGAGGGGAACTAATATTTTGCTGTTCCCATGAGCCAAGTGCTTCCCCTTACAGACTCAGCAGCCCAGTGAGGCAGGTTTGCAGGTGCAGATGTGGAAACTGAGGCTTGAAGAGGCACAGGGCTTTGTCCAAACTTAACATAACTAGCTCATCTGGGAGCAGGACTGGGACTCTGACCTTCACAAAGCCAGTGCTCGGCCACTACCCACCCAAGGAGTTCCTCTGACCAAAAGGGCCCCCAGGCCAGACATGGCTGCCCAGCCCCTGGGAGGCTAGCCAGGCGGGCCTTCTCCCCTTGCTCCCTCGACATGCTAAGCTCATGCCCGCCTAGAGCCTTTGCATGTGCTCTTGTTACCTGGAGCATCCTTGTCACAAGATCAGGACACTGTTGACTATGTTGTCATCTTCTCAGTCAGGCTGCTCCTGGCACTCCACTGACCATCGCATCACCCTATTTCTTTATGCAAAGCCCCCCATCCATGGGAGAAATGGCCCAAGACTCCCAGTGGATTCCTGAAACCATGGATAGTACTCAACTATATAT